TTCCTTCCTTCCTTCCTTCCTTCCTTCCTTCCTTCCTTCCTTCCTTCCATCCTTCCCTCCCTCTCTCCCTCTCTCTCTCTTTTTTCACTCATCTGGTGTCAAAACCACAGGAGTGACTTAATGAGTTCCCTCTCCAAGGACCTCTGTCACTCTGAACCTAGCTGCTGATCTCACTCTCCTATGATACGTGTGGATCATCTGATTCTGCTGCCTGTTGCCACCCACCAAATTTGATTCTAGAGTCTGCTTCTTCCCTCCACCTTAACTAACCACTCATCTCTCCTTGTTCACTCCTCTGGGCATATCCGTGCTACAATCTCTGTGCTGCCCACCCATGGGCAAATACCTGCAATGCCCTTTGGGGCTCTACCACATGGGCAATTCTAGTTACTAAGACACTTGTCCCTGTAGCTGTTTTTCCTCTACCTGCTCTAGCCACTTGTCTCTTCCCTTCTGCTGGGAAGTGTTGCTATGGAGCTCCCTGCTTTGTCTATTCTTACTTCAAAAGCCACACTGGTGTGCCAGGAAGCTTCTTGTCACCCTTCTGGGCCACTATCATGCAGAAAGGGACATCTCTCCTCTGACATGTCTCTCGGTCTGCTTGGGGACGCCTTGGATTGAAATTCTTGTTAACAGACACTTATCCCTCTGCTCCCTCATGGCTCCTCAGCTCCCTCCTGGAACTTCCTCACCTCCGGCTAGGAGCTGCCTGTGTGCTCCTGGGATGGTGACCCTTTCCTTGCCCCTTCTTCCTTTTCTCCTTGGACCCAATTCTCTTCTAGAACTCAGAGATTTTCTTAAAGTCTTGCTGTCTTACTGAAAATCGCCTGGCCTCAGTATAGCTCCATGGCCAAAAAGATGGCAACTGAGTTCCAAATTCTCAAAAATTGTAACAACTTCTGCCACCACACATAGGAGAATTTTTTTTTGAGCTCTCAACTCACAAAAAAACAAAACAAAGACTTATTATTAATGGTGAAAGCTCAGCCTATATCTTAGGCTTGCCCAACTAGTTCTTATAAATGAAATTAACCCATTTATATTAATCTATGTTTTTTCCTTTGGCTTTTTATCTCTCTTTTATCTTGTACCTCCTGTTTCTTCTCCCTGTCCTCTGGAGTCTCTTCTGTGCCTTGATTTTGCTCCTCTTCTCTTCTCCTCCTAACCTCTTCTTGTCTAGCTATTGCCACTTAGCTCATTATTAAACCAATCCGCAGGCATCTTGGCAAAGATATATCTTTACAGTGTATAAAAATATTATTCTACTACAACCACACAATCAAATGATCCCAAAGTCTCTTAATCTCTAAGGTTCTATAACTTTCCACTCTTAAATCTTTTATCGTTATGATTTCTCTGGGCTTTCCTCTCAAGAAATCTTTTAAGACTATTGTATAAACAGTCATTATTTCAGGATCGATTTGTAATTCATTGGGTGTGATTAAAAAATATGTAAAATCTGTAACAAAATTTGGCTTAAAACTGAAAGCAAAAGGCTTATAGTAACCTATAGGTAGGAGTTTTAATTATAAGCCTTTTGTTACAAGTTTAAATCCAAATTTATTACATAGATTTTAAACCATACCCCATGAGCAACTTACACTTGGTTTTTCCACAGAAGAGAGTAACTATCAGGCAGGAACAGGCACCAGTCATAGTGGGAAGTCCTGGTAGTAGAAACAAGGCATGTTTATTTTCCTAACTGTGGTAGTTTGAATGTACTTGGCCCCCATAAACTCGTAGGGAGTGGCACTATTGGGAGGTGTGACCTTGTTGAAGTAGGTGTGGCTGTAGGACCCAGTCAGGGCAAACTCAACAGAGGCCTGAGTCTCAGCAGTTTACCCTGAGGCCATACCTAGTTCCAAGAAAGACCACAAACTGAGACCACCCAATATGCTGGACACACAGAGAGACTGAGTTTGCAAACTTGTGTAAGAATAAAGGCCCTTTGCTTTTACATACAAGGACTCGGTCTCTAGTTTGTTTTGGGGGGACTCCGTGATCTGGGTATAACAGTGGTCTTGATGAAAGGAAATGTGTCATGGTGGAGGCATTGAGGTCTCTCTCTCTTTTTTTTTTTAATTGTTTTTATTGAGTTATATATTTTTTTCTGCTCCCTTACCTTTCTGCCCTCTTCCATGGTACCCATGCTCCCAATTTACTCATGAGATCTTGTCTTTTCTCCTTCCCATGTGGCTTAGATCCATGAGGTCTCTCTTACCTAAGCTTTGCTAGTGTCACAGTCACTTCCTGTTGCCTTCTGATTACGATATAACAGCACCACATCTGCCTGCAGGCCACCATGCTCCCTGCCATGATGATAATGGACTGAACTTCTGAAACTGTCAGCACGCCACCACAATTAAATGTTTTCCTTCATAAGCATTTCTGTAGTCATGGTGTTTCTTCACAGTAATAGAAACCCTAAGACACTAACCCTTGAATATTTTCTCAGCCTATGCATCTCCTTATCATCCATTTTCCGAATACAATCCTTCTTTGAACAAAAAATTTCTAGGGGCTGGTGAGATGGCTCAGTGGTTAAGAGCACTGACTGCTCCTCCAGAGGACCTGGGTTCAATTCCCAGCACCCACATGGCAGCTCGCAGCTGTCTGTAAATCCAGTTCAAGAGAATCTGACATCATTATACCAATGTGCATGAAATAAAGTTAAATAAAGTTAAAAAAAATTTCTAGGTTCTGATATATTGTCAAAAATGCCTTCATTTGTGGTTATAATATAGAAACAATTTGAAGTCTTTTAACATTTTTTATGTGTATAATTGTTTTGCCTGCATGAATGTGTGTGTACCACATTCATCCCTGGTACCCAAATAGGCCAGAAGATGGTATCAGATTCCCTAGAACTTGAGTTATAGATGGTTGTGTGCTACCATGCAGGTGCTAGGAATTGAACTGGGGGTCCTCTGCAAGGGCAACCAGTGCTCTTAACTGCTGGGCCATCTCCTGCCCCTGGTCTTCTTTCTACCCCTTTTTATACAATGCTGGTACCAAAATATTCTCCTTTCTTGTTCTTTAAACACATATGCTATTGCTTTCTCCTAGTAAGGCCAAATTGCTTTGGGGATTGTAATTTACTGCTCTTATAAATATCCATGAGTGAAATAGTGTTAGAGTGTTTTTATCTCCCCAAATTAGAACAAAGATATGTGTGTTACATGATGTATGGTATGATATATTTATAGACATTTAATATATATATGATATATATTTATATATCATATATATATTTATATATCATATATCACATATACATATAGATATAGTCTCAAAGGATAGAACCAAAGACATAGCCTAAGTAATTCTTTTATACTTTCTTAATGTTTAAAGTCTTATGTTTTAGATTTTTTATTACATTAAAATTTTTGTGTGGGGCTGGAAAGATGGCTCAGTGTTAAGAGTGCATACTCTTGTAGAAGACCCAGGTTGAATTCCCAGCATTCACACCAGGTGGCTTACAACCTCCTGTAACTCCAGCTCCAGGGCATCCAATGCTTTTGGCTTTACAGACACCTGTACTCATGTGCACATATCTACACACACATGCATATAACTACACACACTCACACATATATTGAAAAATAAATCTTAAAAAATAATATTTGTGTGTGTTTGTTCTCCAAGTCAGAGACAACTTGTGGAGTCAGGAGTTGATTCTCTTTGTCCATCATGTGGGTCCCGTCCCTGAATTCAGGTCATCAGGCTGTGACAGTGTCTGTCCCCTGAGCCATCTCACCAGACACTCTGCAGTTTCTGTTCTGTTGAGCCTGGGTGTCACACTGTGACCCAGCCTGGCCTGGAACTAACTCATAGATACCCTCCTGCTTCAGCCTGCTGGGCACTCCAGTTACAGGCATGCACCACATTCCAGGCTGTGTTATTCCATTGTGACTTTTTTTTTTAACCTAGGTTTTCCATGATGACGATGCCATCCCTGGATGGGAAGGGAAAATTGTGGCCTGGGTGGAAGAAGATCACAGAGAGAATTAACTGGACCTGGGACACTCCCTGGCTGCTTCTCTCAGGAACGAGGACTAACACCAGAGTACGCTGAGAAGTTTCTAATTCATGCTGCCAAACAGAAGCTTCTTCAAGTATGATGGTCATGGGCCAGTCCTGTTTGTGTGCCTGGCATATCTAGTACTTAAAATCTCTGTCCAAACACAGACCACGGGTTCATCTGGAGCTCCTTGTCCGTGGGAACAGTGTTTTATTCTACTCTGAGGACACCAAACCGAAGGCCTTAACCACCAGGGATGGATGAGCCCTCTCTTGCAGGGGCATGGCTGCTATTATCTGGAACCTGGAAATGTATGCATCTCTCCTTCATGTTATAGTGTTCATTTAATTGGCCTCAATGGTTGCAGCAATCAGAGTCTCAGCATCTGTGCTCACAGACAAGGCAAAGGTACCAACTTTTCTGCCTCTTTGCAGACATTGCAAACCAGAAGTAGCTCATGAAGTGGTACCAAAGATGAAAGACCAGGAAATGGATGATGCTGACTTGTTGATTGGGTTGGGGAAGAGTTGCCCATAGTGTGCTATACTATGCCAAAACCATAATTAAGACCTTGGGCTGCCTCTTCTGGTTTTAGCTGATTCTGCAGCTTGTCCTTAGCCCATTCAGGGCATTTTTTTCACGAACTGCTGGTTTTCTCTGGGGACTCTTTAACTTTAGAGCCATTTTATTTTTCTCCAAACAGATGACTTTGTGTTTGAAAAGAATAAGAAGCGAGAGGCTCCTTAAACATCCAGGAGGATACGGAAAGGTGCTGCTGTCCATTTCTCTGTGACTCAAACTCATGGCATCTCCTTTGCATTGCAAGGAGACAGACCATTAATTTGTGTTTGTGATTTGAGCACTGAGCACGACTTACTGGTCTGCCTCTCATTTCAAGGCTGGAGTTATTTTCTGTTCCATACTTAGCCTGGGCTGTTCCTTTAGGGCACAGCAGAACCCATGGGGCACGGAGCATGAGCTGTGAATGGCAGGGTCGGTTCAAGTGAGCAGTCATTTCTCATTGCAACATTGTCCAGTATAGAAGCTGAAGAGTTCAACTTCCAGAGGTTACTCAATAACTTGGGTTTTCTCATCCACGCACCTAGCACCATCCACCAATCAGTCATATTATCTATTTATATAGTCCCTCAAAGCGGTCTGCAGCCACCACTGTACACTGCCCAACAGAAGAGTGGAACAGATGATCTGCCTCTCTGTTCGTCTCCCATTTTCAGCCATTTGAACAGATACTCTTTGGAACTCTGAGATAACATCTTATTGTTTTATATAGACATGTCTTTTAAAAATAGTTCATGTTTGAAAATTGCTTTGTACTCATTTGCTTTTGTCTGAGAACCATGTCTATTTTTATAACTCACGTGTGAGGTCAGTGTAATCTCACATCCCCTGTACTCTGTTGATTCTCTAGAGAGCTCAATAGCTTTTCTACAGTCTCTTCTTACGCCTCGTGTGCTTTCAGAACAAGCTTTATTTTGTTACAAGTACACTAATGACAGTCAATTTCTGTCCAATTCTCCCTGCTGTTTTAGTAATGGAGGTTTTTTGTTTTGCTTTGTTTTAGTCTAGTTGATTGCTCTTCTAAAAGACATGAGATCAAAAAGAAAGTCTTTCATGGACGCTGCCCTGGTCTTCTATTGGAGAGCAATTTCTCATCAGCTGTAACTAGGAAAGTTTGGGAAAGTCAGCCATAAGCAAGGGACAACTCATTGTGAAAGCCAACAAAGAAAACAGTATTATTTCCATTTTTTCTCAAGATGACTGGAGGGAATAAAAGTTCGTATATCACCAATTTCTCTGTTGCATGAATTTTAATGTTTTGCTATTTGACAGCATGAAGGTGACCAGGCTAAACTTCGGTACTGTAGTCCAATTTACCTGGAATGTCTGTCTCTTAAACCAGATTTCCCTTGTCCATTTTCTTTCAACAAACAGTCTTGACATTATGTGGAATTAACTTTTCAGCAAAAATTAAATCAGAGAAAAAGCTTCAAAGTCCTCTACATTGTGTTTTATTTTTTATCACTTTTTGAAAAAGGAGCCACATGGCCTTAGTGGCTACATAAAAGCAGAGGTTGGAAATAGGGGTGAAGATAGTGCACTAACCTCATTTACCATGGGCAAAATGGCCAAGCATCTCTGCTGGAGGATGTATTCATTAATCCCTGTACATTCCAGACCAGGAATCCTTATTCCAGCCCATAATGCTGGAGTCTTCAGAGCAGGAGCAAGCATGAATTCATTCTGTTCTCAATAATCTCCTATTTGGCCACACTCCAGGACAGTGGTTCTCAACCTGTGGGCCACGACTCCTTTGAGGATTAAATGACATGAATGGGTCATCTAAAATCGTCAGAAAACATGAATATTTACATTACTATTCATAACAGTAGCAAAATTACAGGTACAAATTATCAACAAAAATAATTTTCTGTTGTTTTTCTCTTTTTACTCTTTGGACTCTTTTGGCTTTTGGGGGGGCCACCACCCAGCTCCTAAATAAATCACACACAGAGGCTTATTCTTAATTATAAATGCCAGGCCTTAGCTTGACTTGTTTCTAGCGAGCTTTTCTTAAATTATCCCGTCTACCTTTTGCCTCTGGACTCTTTCCATTTCTTTACCTCTGTATATCTTACTTTCACTCCTACTCCATGGCTGGCTGTGTTTCTGGCCCCTAGTATCCTCCACTCCTCCTTTTCTTGCTCCTTCCTTCTTCTCCCAGATTTCTCCTTCTGTTTGTTCTCTGCCCACCAGCCCAGCCTATCCTCTCTCCTACATTGCTATTGGCTGTTCAGCTCTTTATTAGACCAATCAGGTGTTTAGACAGGCAAAGTAACACAGTTTCACAGAGTTAAAGAAATGCAACATAAAAGAATGCAACACATCTTTGCATCATTAAACAAATCTTTCACAGCATAAACAGATGTAACACATATTAAAATTATAACAATTTCCTGGTTGGAGGTCACCAGAATATGAGGAAGGAAGTTATTAAATGGTTGCTGTATTAGGAAAGGTAAGAACCACTGCTCTAGGAGAAGTTGTAGCTTAAAAATATTGTTCCACACCAATTGGCTGGTCCATCCTGCTATTGCTGACATTCTTTCCATGGGAAAACTACACTAGACTATTAGGAGTCCTAAAATAGTCGCTTAACTTTTTTTTTTTTAATGTAAGCTGGGCATACTGACTCAAGTCTTTAATCCCAGCACTGGGGAGGCAGAGGCAGGTGGACCTCTGAGTTTGAGGCCAGCCTGGTCTACAGAGTGAGATCCAGGACAACCAGGGCGACATAGTGAGATCCTGTCTTGAAAACAACAACAACAACAAAATGTACTCATGTGCAGAAAAGAACCTACACATACCTGTATACACACGCACACCTGTATACACACAAGTAAAAATAATAAAAATATTTCTTTAAAAAGACCTCATAAGTACTAATTTAGTTATTTAAAAACTGAAGAGCAGCCTCTTCCTGTTCAAGTCTCTAAATCATCTGGGTTGGAACGCTTTACAATTTGTACCTAAAGTTTCTGCCTTGGTGATAGATACATGACTGTAATTCCAGCATTTGGGAGGCTGAGGCAGGAGGAGTACCAGGTTGATGCTGGGCTACATAATGAGATCTGTGTCTGGAAAAAAAGAAAAAAAGTAAAAGAAAAAGAGAGAAAGGGAGGGAGGGAGGGAGAAAGAATGGAAGTATGGGTTAGATACATTGGGCAACAGCAATGATCTTTACAGACCAACTCTTCAGGTCTTTTGACTGGGATGTAAATAGGACAAGATCTTTATGTACTGAAAAGCATTCCGGTTATAATTGAAATTTTCATTTTTACTCATAAGCATCGTGATTGCACTCTTATTTGTTGAACTTGTTAAGAAGTATAGCTTGCTTAAAATACACACACGTGCATGTGCACGCACACCCACACACACACAGAGTTCTATTTTCTTAGAAAAATGGACATTTGTAACTACTGCTTCCAGAGATCATTACCATGTATTCTCTTTTACAATGTTTTTACCAAAGCTTTGGTAGTCCAGAGGTTTCTGATTATCAAAGTGATAGCCAGTTTTAATGCTTGCATGTACCAGAATCGTGAACAAGTCAAAACCACATACACAAGCAATGAATAAAATGGAGTTTACAAACTAAATCCACTTCATCATTTTCATTATTGTCTCTTCACTGAGATCAGTGAGTAAAGCCATTTACATCTAGTGGAGGCAATCTCCTCAAGTGATCTCCCTGGTAGCATGTTTACTCATTATCAGGAGGGCAGAGATAAGGACAATTTTATTGCTAGAGATACTTTACTGTTAATATTTCTAATGTAAGCACAAGATAGATTATTATAGAAAAAAGACTAGCTAGTTTTGTGCCTATTTTGAAATTATATGGAAATGTACAGACACATAAGAACCTGAGAGTATAAGCTGTATGGTAACATTAATCTTCAAATGCAGCGTGAACCCTAATTAGCTCAGAAGTGTAGAAGCCTGAGTCCTGGGCCCTGTGCATGCTGCACATGCTTTCTAACACTGCACCACTCAGGACCCCAGGCAGAGATGAGTTCATATTTATTTTTCTATTTTGAAACAGCATCTCACTGTTAGCCAAACTGATAGGTTCAGATGATTAACCATTTTCCTTCAGGCTCTGGAGTAACTGGACTATTGGCATGAACTACCGCCCCAGCCCAGAAATTAATACTTAAAAAAGAATCAGAATTCAAAAATCAATTTAAAGCCTGCCTCCCCCAAATTCAAGCAGGCTTCACTTATCACTAATGTTATTGATTTAAAAGTTTGATATTTCAATCTTTCGTTCTGAGTGCTTTCTTTCACTTGACTTTTGATTACATATCTTCAACTTTGTTCTGTTCTGTTGGAGACAGGGTCTCACTATGTAGCTTCGACCTGGAGCTTGCTATGTAGACCAGTCAATCAGTATAGCCTGGAAATCACAGAGATCCGCTTGCCTCTGCATTGCAACAGCTAGGATTCAAAACAAAACAAAACAATTTTTAAAAAAGATAAGAGTCCATGTAGGTAGCCTAGATGGCTACACTAAGCTAGAACAGCAGTCATGCACCACCACACTGGCTATCAGAATAGCTTTTTTTCCTCCAGTTTCTTCTGTGGTCTTGGTGTTCTTTGACCATCTGTTAACGGAGGAATCAGCATGAATACAGCAATGTGTCCCCCTAATCTAACGTCACTTCAGCTTAGAAATGATGAGGTTTTCTAATTATATAGCTATACAATGAATGTTTAATAAATGTTGCACATAAATTGTTGGTCAATAACTCAAGTCATGCACGGAGAACTGTTATTACTATACTAAGAAGACAATGAGAAACAATAGATTAAATTCCTGAACTGCCAAACAGATTAGGTTTGCTGTAAAACAGTTACGAGTCACTTAATGATGGTTTGTTAATGACCTATACAGCATACAAATATGACCCTCCCACTAAGGTTAGTCACCACGTGTTTGCATTGCTCGGTGACACTGCAGCCACCACTGTTCATGTTAATGCAATCATTTTTTTTCAAGGCAGGGTTTCTCTGTAGTTTTGGAGCCTGTCCTGGAACACACTCTGTAGACCAGCCTGGCCTCGAACTCCCAGAGATCCACCTGTCTCTGCCTGCCAAGTGCTGGTATTAAAGGTGTGTGCCACCACTGCCTGGCCAAATGCAATCATTTCTATGACAGGGCTCCTTTCTTCTGCTTGTGTTTCCTGATCTTGTGAGTTCTCACATGGTCCCTAGGTATAGATAGAGGTATATAAAATTACAAGTAAAACATTTATTAAATAAATAAATTTCTTTAAAAACAATACTTTGGAAGTTTCAGCAGTTATTAAAGATGAAATCAAATTTCTATACAATTAGATGTTCTTTGTTTTTAAATACAGAATTAAATCTATAAAATACATCATGTATGCGTTGAAGTTTTTAAAGGATAAGTTAAAAAGTTTTAAAGCCCCATCACCTTAAATATAATTTCTCCTCCATATCTATGAAAATTACACATCATGGGCTGGAGAGACAGTCATTGGGGTACAGGTGTTTGCCACTAAACTTGATGACTTGAGTTTTATCCCTGGAATGCACAAAGTCAAAGAGAACAGACTCTCAAAAACTGCCCTCTGATACACACACACACACACACACACGCACACACACGCGTGCACACACACACACACAGAATAAGTGTAATTTCTAAATTAAGAATTGTGACATTTTTGGCACTCCTTCTCCTCACAAAAAGAATTGTAAGAACATAATCTGTGGTGAGGCTCTGAGGAACCAGGCAATCCCATGCATTGTTGGTGGGGAATACAAATGCTTTGGGGAAGAATACGGCAAGAATCTAACAAAACCACATATACATCTATTTTTATTCTACATATATTTAAGTATATAGCGATATTTTATATATACATATATATTAAGGGTCTCAGGTAGCCAAGACTGGTTTTGAATTTGTTATGAAGCCAATGATGACCCTGAACTTCTGATTTTTCTGTTTCCACTTCCCAAATGCTGGGATTACACAGTTTATCAGGTGCTAACTCAGATTTTTAATTTTTATATGCATTGGTGTTTAACCTGCATGACTTTGTGAGGGAGTTGGATCCATAGGAACTCAAGTTACAAACAGCTGTGAGCTGCCATGTGGGTGCTGGGAACTGAACCTGAGTCCTCTGGAAGAGCTGCCAGTGCTCTTAACTGCTGAGCCATCGCTCCAGCCTTGAGCTCAGGATTTTCAGGATTTGATGCATGCTAAGCAAACACTTTTCTAACTGGGTTACATTCCCAGCCCTAATATATTTTAAAATGTACTTATTCCCAGGTCTGTGTTATACTGACATGCTTATGCCATGGTATTTTTTTTGTTTGTTTGTTTTTGGAGACAGGGTTTCTTAGTGACAGAGAAACAATCCTGGCTGTCCTGAAACTAGCGCTGTAGAACAAGCTGGCCTCAAACTCAGAGATCTATCCGCCTCTGCCTCCTGAGTTCTGGGATTAAAGCTGTGTGCCTCTACTGCCTGGCATATAAATTCTTTATACATGTTATTGAGTTCATAAAGACATTCTTATACAGTATATAATATAATTTGAATATATTTCTCTATATACCTTCTTAACCCTCCTCCCTTCCCCTTTCCATAATTCCCTTTCCCCCATTTCATTTCTATAAGTGAATATGAAGTCTAGGATCACAAATGAGAGAAAACATACCAGATTTATCTTTCTGAGACTGAATTAATTTGCTTAAGTTGCATCCATGTTGTGAATGACAAGACTCCATTATCTGTGACTGAAAAAGTTACACTGTGTATATACCACATTTGAGTTAGCCATTCCTTTAGGATGGATACATAGTTTTGTCCTAAAAATGAGCTATTGTGTGTGAACTGGGCTGCAATGCAGAGTAATGTG